GGTTTGTGAACTCGTGCAACTCCCGCACCGATTCCAAAGACGGGACCCTTGAATTTGAACACCTCGTCCACTCACTCGAAGTGCTTCGTCCACTTGACTCAGCTCGTTGAGCGAAGACGAGTCCATTTGCCTCCAGGAGGTGGTGGGCCACTATCCGGAGCGCATCACAGTGGTCTCCTTTGGTTTTAAAAAGCACCGCTTTGGAGATCTTCATCGAAAGGCTTTGCGCTTCCCCAGCTCCAGGTGCACCGGAAAAAAAGCAAAACGCAGACTGAGTGTGTCAGGAGCGGCCAAGAGGGGTGGGAAGACAGCAAACACAGGATGTGAAGAAAGGCCATGATGTTTGGGCTGCCCCCTCGGCTGAGTTTTGGATCCATGAGATCTATTGACATGCAAAATTATATCAATGACACATATATACATAATGTATACGCATTTAAACAACACAAGGACTGTTGCGGGTTGCGGATTTTGGCCCTCTTCGTTGACTTGCGTACTGTAACTCTTTTCAAGTGTAATTTGCAACCCGCAACCAATCTTGTCTGCAATGCTCCTTGTTGAAGACATTAAACAGAACCACAAAAAACAAACATCTCTAGACTAGTCCAATCCCAAGAAACAAAAAAACAAAAGAACTAAGATTTCAGAACTATGTTGAAGATTAGACTAGTATGGAAATCTTTGTTTTCAGTTTTTTTCTTGGCTTTGTCATCCAGGATTAATCCAGATTAATCTGAAGTAATCTTCCTCAATGAACCCTACATGTCTGCTCCACACTCCAACCTTCATTTGCTGCTCATCTGCAGGATTTGGCTTGTAGCTCCTGTTTGCTTTCCTTGTTTGCTTTCCTTGCTGTCTGTTTTTCATTTCTCTTATCTTCCTGCTGACCTCTCTACAAGTGTTATTGGTAAAGGTTATGTTGTTTTCACCTATCTCACCTCCATCACTACATTCAAAATGCTTCTTAATCAAATCTATTATAGCTACTTTCTGATTAAAAATCATATCCTTAATATCATATAGCTTCTTTCTATCCTCATCAGTCTTGAGCTTCTAATATTCATACAGCATAATGTTATTCTTCAACATCAAGTCTATACAGCGATTAGCATAGGCCTCAAACTCAAATACATAACTTACACTCTCAGGATTTTTCAACTGCCTTGTATCACCAGTGGCTACTACAATCTTGTCAGGATTGTTCAAACAAAAAAAAGTCCCAAACACAATGCTTGTTCATAATGCTTATTCATAATGCACCAATACCATTGCCAAACTTAAAAGACTCGTTGCCTTCCCTAGGTTACATTTATCAATCACAAATGCATCAGTCTTTACTGAATACACCTGTATATCATTCTGCTTCAGTTTCTCATGGTTATGATTTTGCAAAATCATCTCTTTGATAAACCTATATCCATACTTTAAGAGTTTTGGTGTTACTTATGCTTAAAACATAATGCTTATTCACATTCAACATGTTAGGAAAAAAATCATTTTGCTCCTCACCTATCTCAATTTCATTGCCCTGTTCATCTCTCTCAATTAAGCAATCATCATCACTAGTCATAATTCTCTCCTCACCCCCCTTCACATATTCAGTGATTATACTTTTGTCACCACCATATATAGTTTTGATAGTAAAAGGCATCAACCATATTGGAAAAAGGCTATTGACCTTTTTGCTACATTAGTTTTTTTTCTTTCCCCGTAGTCCAATGTTGATACAAGAAACCATCTTGTTTTTCCTATTTTGTCTCTTCATGCTCATCCAGTTTTAAACTATACACATCATCAATCAGCTTTTTGAAGTTGACCTTGTATGTATGGATGGCACTTTGAAATAAATGATTTCAACAACATCAGCATATTCCTTCATAAATCAAGTTATAGGTTCTGTTGAGAAATATGTTCCTAACCTTGCTCTTCACTAAATACAATCTTAAAGAGTTCATCTTGTTGAAATCATATATTTGATAATCATACTTCTTCCAAATATCAACCTCAGAAAACACCGGTATCCTGACAGTGTCAATTGTGCCTTGTGTGTATGCCTTGTTCATATCTATTTCAATGTGTTTATTTAAACCTTACCTATGGATTCAACATATCCACTTGCCTATCATCTTTGTGATGGTAGGACTTGTGATTAGGATTGGCCAGGAGCCCCTAGTAGCGCCATAGCACGCCGGCTGACGCGATTGCAGGTTCTCCTTTGTGGGCATTCAGCCACCGCCCAAGTCTCGCTTTGACCTGGCACGAGCGGAGCAAGGGGAGCTGCAGCGGCTCGGATTGGGTTTGGAACCGAAAGAGCTTGGCTTGCTTAGCTTGGCTTGCTAAAGATATTTGTTAACATCTTGGGAGAGAAGGGCAGACGTAAGACTCTGTAGACTGATTCAACACTTACCAAGACACTTCCCTTTTTTCCAACAAACATGAGTGACACATGTTGTGTTTTTTGAGGAACAGAGCCGCCGGACGGGTTCACTTTTCAATTCGGATAGAGGGTAATTGTCATTGTTCATGTTCACTTCGGATCATCCCCTTGCGTTACCCAAATTCCCGGGCCAGGCAGGGCAAAACCTTAACCACTGCAGCTCTCTCAATTCTGAAGGTGCTCAAGGGTAGGTGTTCATTGGCTGTTAGAGAAAAATAGATCGAACAACTGTGCAAAGCAATTTGTAGAAGTGTCTGACAACGGTCGCGGTCACAGGAGACCAACCTGCAAAAGACGGTGAACTCACACGGCTGGGATAAACACGTTGCAGGCGGATCACGGGCACCAACGGTGCAGGCTCCATGGACAATTACATGTGTATGGCCCAAACCTAGGACTCAAGGAGGTACCAGTTGCATCCAGTTGCCACCCTTCTCACTGATTGAGAGCCACTGCGAGCCCGGAAGACTCGTGGAACGGGTCACTCCAAGGAACTCCGTCTCCCTTTTCGAGGCTGATCCTTATGGCTGCCGCTCTCAGGCCGAAAGAAAACGCTCACCATCTGGGACGGACGAACGGACGATGCGACATGGGTTTGGCACGTAGGCCATCCAAGCTGTATACATGTGTCGTATTTGTGTAGAGTGGCAAAAGCACTGTAGCATGAGTCCAAAAGATTCTTGAGCCATACTATTCATTAATTGTTTTTGGTATTTTAGACAACTGTGTGACATCACAATGGCCTCACAACTGCACCTTTTTCCATCCTTTTCCACTTCAATTGGCCAAGGTTGGCCATTGAACCATCGAGAAGCCTTTGTTTGGAATGAACATCTCACGATCTGGCCGGGGTCGTACCGTCGATTTCACCCATCGCTTCAAAAATGATGATGGTGCTTGAGAGTTCGTCAAAGCCAAAGCAAGGAGTGCTACCTCGATGGTACTCCTTGGACTCCTTGGCAGGTGCTTGTGCAAAAGCGGAAAGATCGAAATCCATTTCAGCGAACCAACCCTTACTTGCTTTCCTGCCCCTTGGATGAAAAGAGCTGAAATGAGGTGCCAAAATCGGAAGGCAATCCTTTGAGCAATTTTAGATCATTTTGGAGCGTATTGGGCAAAAGGTGTCTTTTGCTTCTTCGGGGGCCAATGCATGCAGATCAAGTAGCATCAGATTGTATGCAGCTTTCTCTTCAATCACATGCATTCAAGAAGGTTTTGCGGAATTGGGAGAAGGAGAAGGACATTGTGACATTGTGCGCATGCCAAGGAGGTTGTGAGCTTCTGTCCCTTTTTGCAGATCCTGAAACCATCTGAAACCACACCTTGGAATCTCATGATTGATGTAGCTGCTGCTTAATAGATGTTCAATCAGAGCGACCCCGCTGAATTTTCAGGCTGTGCCTGAGACATACTTTGTTTGGTTGAAACTCAAAGGAACATTCTGTTCGGAGATATACTGTATATAAATATACACATATATAGATAACACACAACAGATTCTTTTATGTGGTACCTCTTAAAGGGTTGCTTGACTCAGGCAATTCCAGGTTCTTCACACAGCGCCCTAGGCCCGGAGATCAAGCAGCTCCTCCAATGGTGTGGCCCTGACATCTTCCCTGGTCCCTTACCATGGAGCCGACGTTTCACCACTGAGGAATAAGATTCCATGCCAGACGGTTGCCCAGCAACATGCGCAGTGGCTCTGTTGACAAGGGGCCACATGTTGCCGTGTTGTTTCTTTTTTTTATGTAGTCCGCAGGTATTGTGCCCAGCTCGTGGAAAGAAGATCTTCCCAAAAGAGCTGGGAATTTCTTGGGAGTTTGACGGAGTTCAAAGAATGAGGTATCCAAAGATAGTTTGTTCTTTTTGTTCTGCGGATCACGTCACTTTCAACACCCCATGCTTGGATCAGTGCCTCATTTTTAGTAGACTCTCCATTTCATAGATGAACCAAATCCTGTATAATTACTGTGAGAAACAACGCCTTCTCATGGATTGTGAGTAGTGTGAGTGTGAGCAGTGCAGGCTTGGATCATTCCCATCTAGAGCAGGCGACCTCATTGGTCGCCCTGCGAGTGAACAGCAGCTTGGCGCCGAGCGACCCAGCGGAGGGGCTGTTGTCGAAAGAAGTGCATCGGCCACAGAGTGTCTGCAGGGTTATGCAGGGCTACAGAATTCGTGAGTAGCCAGGCAGCACCCTAAAGTTCCCAGTCTTATTAAATTGTTACAGGGAAGGGAGCATTTAGATTTGCAAGGCAAGGTTCATGTTCGATGTTTCTCTTCAAGATTCTTCAAGGCTTTCCGACTTCAACCCCTCGGTCCACGACGAGCCATGGCGATGCCCGCCACAGACTTCACCCAAGGGCCTTTCCCCTTGTGAAACATCCAATCAATCCAATGATGTGCAGCGGACAACGCCCTTTCGACCTGAGTGGCGGCCGACTCATAGAGGCCAATGTTTCTCATGTAAGGCAGGTTTACGATGCACCAGGTTTTCGTCGTCAAGTGGAACCCTCGATGTTCGGATGGGACACCGAAACGACCGCCATCTCATTGCGGGTGGAGTTCGTGGTCGGCCCAAACCCTTTGAGCCGCCGGAGCTGGGCCTTTTCCAAGAGGCAAGGGGGGGTGTTGGGTGTGGCAGATATCTGCAAGACATGGTGAACAACCAGATAATCCCCTCCATCGCCGCTTTGCCTTTGATCCTCTGGGCCAAACAATACTGTAGCATGAAAGCATCCAGAAGTCAGCTCACAACCCTAACCTGCCAATGAGTTGACAGCTCTTTTTCACCTAGTTCTGAGACGCACCACAGGTGCGTCTCTCCGCAGAAATGAAAACGGTTGGCATGGCCAGGAGATGCAATTCCAGCAGCCCTATGGCATGGAGACTCAGGCTGTGTACCGTCTTGCACCACCTTGCAAGGCACACGCACAACACAGGTTTGATCAGGGAGAATTTCTTACCTCGGCTAGTGCAGGACTTCTTCCACCCAACAGTAGGGATACCCAGTGTGAATAGCAGAGGGTGCCAGGTGGTGACACACAGGTCTCCCTGCCAGCCATGGATGCTTTTAGCCAGGTGTCAAAGTCTCCATCGGGTATTTGGGAGGAGATCAGTTACAGCCTGGTCGATCAAAGGCGATAAACACCCTAGTAGCGATGGCCTCCACCCTAGGAGCGATGGCCTCTACCCTAGGAGCGATGGCCTTCAACCTACTAGCTTCCGGTTTCTCCCGCCTAAAAATCCTAAAGCTCCTCGAAACATCCTCCCATACTGGTGCTTCGACCAGCACCAGTCCATGTCCGAGGCTCGGTGCCCGGAAGCTTCCCACCTCCCAGGGTGCGATCGTCCCGACGTGGCGAAAGTGGATGAACCACTCGACCCGATGGATAGACATCGTTAACGCTGAATGGTCGAGGTTGGGCAAACTCCGTCGTGATTTGTGGAATTTTCCTACTGGCCCCCCCAGGATTCCCTCTCCTCAAACAGTCAGATAAGCGCGGGTTGCATCATGGACGTGACACACTTCTTTTGGCCCATAGCTCGCACTGTGTTGTGCAGTTTTAATGTTGCACTGTGTTTGCGATATGAGTGATTTTGAATTTTGCAAGTATTGGCCTGGCTTTCATCTGCTTGTCAAAGCCAGGACTTCTTGCTGCTTTGATTCTAGAAGTACAGATCAAGGAAGCCTAACATGCTGGCAGCCAGTGTAGGAGGACGTGAATAGTATGGAACTAACCCCAGCAGATTGGCAGGGATATTGACACTCCAAATGTCTCAATCTTTGGACGTTGGGCTATATATACTATGAAACTTGGACAGAACTGAACTGGGAAAAAAATAGAACCTCTTTTTTCTATCCTTTTTCCGTCGTAGAGGCCATCGCTTCTAGGTTGGAGGTTATCGCTTCTAGGTTTTATGTCTCTGCGCGAGTCCCAGGGCACCTTCGCGGCCATGCAGCAGGGATACCTGGGCCAATTGGGCCGTCAGCCTGAACCGCCCAACGAAGGACACCGGTCGACCCAGACGTAAGCGGCGGTTTGAAATTGGGGCATTGAGGCGGGTCAAACACGGCAGGCGTATCCTAGTATCATTGGGTTCTGTAGCTGCAAGGAAGACATTCGAAACCACTTGATTCACTACAGTGTGGTGACAGTTCCTTCCCTCCTCATTGAGTGGCCTGTTTGTGCAGAGGACAAAGTGCCCGCACCTATGGCGGAGGTGCCCGCAGCTGTGAGGGAGCAGCCTTCCCTGAGTGTCCATGTGGCCAAGTGGTAATTCAAGTGAAAACCGGTGAAAGCACTCCCACATCATGGATAATGATGCACGACACATTCCGCAGGATTCCACTGGATATACATAGCGGCGTGGGGTTTAGCATGGGCTGAAAGCTGTTCACTGGCTAGAGTATTGCGCCAATATTTGTGGATACTTTGTTGTTGTGTTCAAGCGGCGAAAAGCTTTTGAGACATGATGCACCCATCCTGTTGCCAGGCAATGGAACTGGAACATTTCCAGTCCAAACTGGCCATCCTACCTTGATGAGCAGGCAGGGGGCCTTGCAGTAGCAAGACAGGGTGTGGCCATGCATGATGAATCAACACTGATCTACTGCAATTATTCACATCAGTGCCAGGCCAGGTGCGATTGGGAAGATGCTTTGTGGGTGTTCCAAATTCATGTATTCAACAAACTATATATTGGTGTCCTGTTTTGCCTTCAGTGTGGGTTGTATGTATACGATTGTTTGCCTTTTTAGATCATTCTTTCTTCATACTGTATAATACCTTGTTGCGGTTGTTGCGACATTTTTCCCGAAAGCATTGCGAAGGGTTCTTCCGGAAAATCCCTTGAACACTGACACTTCGACACTTACACTTACACACTGACACTTCCACCACATTTGCACTACATACACTGACACTTCGACACTTACAGTTACACACTGACACTTCCACCACAGTGTAAGGGGAAGAGCGAAAGCATCCAAGTGCAAAGTATGCAAGTGTCAAAGTATGCAAGTGTAAGTATGCAAGTGATGGGTATGCAAGCACGCAGTGTAAGTATGCAAGTGATGGGTATGCAAGCATGCAATGAGTATGCAAGCATGCAATGAGTAGGCAAGTGTGAGTATGGAAAACTAGCACGGGAGATGTCCTAATGAAAAAACATTTCCCCACTTTATAAATTCTCTCTTAAAGGCGGAGGGTGGGACGAACAGCGTCAACCGAAAGTGCAACCCTCTGCGGAGATCGTGCACGTCGAGTGCGCGAAATGCAGGCGAGAGTGCGATTCGCCGGGTGCCCGCGCAATCCTCTGCGGAGATCGTGCGTGTCGAGTGCGCGAAATGCAGGCGAGAGCGCGATTCGCCGGGTGCCCGCGCAACCCTCTGCGGAGATCGTGCGTGTCGAGTGCGCGAAATGCAGGCGAGAGTGCGATTTGTGAAATTACCGCGCGACCCTCTGCGGAGATCGTGCGTGTCGAGTGCGCGAAATGCAGGCGAGAGTGCGATTCGTTTAGCAGCGGAGCATACTACTTGGTGGTTCGTTTTTACTTGTGGCACTTGCAACTTAGTTAAGACACTTATAGGACTTAAGCAACTTGTAAGTAGTACTTAGGGAACTTAGGTTTTACTAGTTTTTTAATTATAACCGTAAGTTGTATAAATTACTTGTAACTAACTTATAAGTTCTGTAAGTTCCTGGACGACCAAAAGTATAGTCTCAGACAAGATTAAAAAATAGAAAAACTAAATTTTCGTCTTGAGATGGGCAGGCAGCTGTGAGAAAAACTAAGTGTTCGTTTGCAGATCCACGTGCCTTCGTGTCAGACCGCATGAAGCGCAGCCATAGCAAACACTCCCTCAACACCTCAAGCTGGAAGTCTGCATCTTTCTCAAACCAAGGCATGACAACCATGATGTTGGCCACGCTCATCCGAACATGTTCTGCGCACAGGCTGGTCATGTCTACCAAAACTGCTCTTGTTCTTTGAACTTCAATGGCAACTGATGTTCAATGATTGTTTCTTCAGCTTGATTCAGCTCAACCCTTTGAAAAATATACAGGGGTTACATATAGGTTGGCTGGTGGTCAATTGATGGGCTAGATCTAGGTTGGCTGGCGGCCCATTGGGCCGCCCAGATGTGTTGGTCAATTGATGGGCCATCTAGGTTGGCTGGCGGCCCATTGGGCCGCCCAGATGTGTTGGCTGGCGGCCCCAGTGGAAAAATACCATATACTCTGGACCTTATGCAAAGGGTCCTGTACCAAAAGTACTAGTCCTTGAAAAGCAATGCATCAAACATAAACCTTGATTCATTTGCCATTGAACCATTCAAAACAGAACTACCATAGCTTCACCTGATATATCTAAATATTCGGGTTGCTGACCAACAACTTTCACACACATAAAATTTGACTAGCCGATTGTTTTCACATATCACGGAATCACAAATGTATAAAAATGTATAAAAATGTATAAAAATGTATAAATCAAAGCGGACCTAAATTTATACATGTATAAATCAAAAAATATCAATTTATACATGTATAAATCACCCCATTTTCAATTTATACATGTATAAATTGATAACGAAATCGATTTATACATGTATAAAAATGTAAAAATGTATAAATTCAATTTCTGAATTTTAAGCATTTTGCTTGTCATGCGATGAGCTTTTATCAAATAGAATTCATTTCTCAGAGTTGCCAACCCCACCACCTCATGAGTTTAGACATTTCCTGACTCCCTGATTTTTAAAAAATCCAGGAGTCAGGATTTAAGTTTTGCTGATTGAGAGCTTTGCTGATTGAGTGCAACAATGCTTTTTGTTTGCTGGCGTTTGCTGGCTCCAAGTGTGCGCTGCTCATGCGACGCGTCCTCAGCTGCCGGTACTGCTGAAGATGGAGCCTGTGCAGCCTAGGAGGATGACGTATGCGGAGCAGCTGGAGGCAATGCGGCCACCTTGCGGGTTTTGCATCCTGGCGGACGGGACCATCCTGCTGTCCAATCGGCCGGAGACCTACACGGCGGAGATGGTGGTTGATGCCTATGAGGCATGGCGAAAGATAAAGGCAAATGGCTTAGTGCGTGAGACCCGACCTGCGGCTCAATGAGTCTATTATTGAAACAAGAGCGACATCCATCATCTGCTCAAGATGGCACGCGGTTCAATGTATATTTTTTTGCAAGAGACACAACCTGCGGCTCAATGAGCCGCATGTTTTTTTATACAGGAGCAACATCCATCATGAGTCAGCCATGACCATGACAAGACGGCATACGGCTCAGTGAGCTGCGTGATGAACATGCGATCGGAGCATGAACTCGATTTCAAGTTTAAGAATCAAAGTGCGAAATAACACGATTTGATCAGTTTTGGTGTAAATTAGAAAAACTTGAAATTTTATATCTCAAAAAAGTTAAGTTCCCTAAGTTAGTTATAACTTATTTTTGACTAGTTTTTGATAATCTAGATATAGAACTTAGAAATTTCTAACTTTTGCTAACTAACTTGCAAGTGCCACATCTTAACATAAAAACTTGTGCTAGTTACAGAACTTGTAATCCCTTCGTAACTAAGTTACCAACCACTTACAAGATACTTACAAGTTCCCTAGCCAAAAATGAACCACCAAGTAGCTTCACCACAGACACGTTTTACGCAGCGCCCATGTCCACCATCCTGGGAACCCAGGCAGTTTAATCAGTTTGCGTTTGTGCGGGTCTTGGGGAGCATTTGGCCCGCAAGTGGCACTGCAATTCGCTCGCGCTCCCTAAGCTGCGCTTGCTTTTGTACTGGTGCTCGTGGTTGATTGGGGTGGGAGGAACGCAAAACCTCTCTCCCACCCTAACAAACTAGATATAGCCTTGTTTAGTTAGAACAGCTTGCTGGTTGGTAGGAGCTGGCTGCTCCCAGATTCTTCAGGCTCTGTGCCTGCGCCGCAATCTTTTTGGGAGATGATTGGGGCTCAAACGTGTTTAAGGTGCTGAAAAATGATTGCCAGACAGCGTTCTAGCTTTCATCTGACAAAAAGGTATTCTTTGTAGCTTCTGTGGCTCTTTAAACTGTAAGGATTGTTCTCTTATATATATGTAGTATAGAGTCATTGCAACGCAGCGCTTGCTTGCGCCAGACAGGTGCTGTTAGTTCCATGATTTTTGCGTTGATTTGTAGAAGCTTTGCTTGGTTTGGTCTACAACTGT